GAGCCAGGCCCCCCCGGAGCTGAGCATCCCAGAAGCTGAGAACCCCCAGAGCCGAGCATCTTAGAGCGTAGCATCCCTGGAGCCGAGCAACCCCAGAGCCGAGCACCCCCACAGCCGAGCACCCCCACAGCCGAGCACCCCCAGCAGCAGCAACACCATCCTTCCACCACCAAGGACACCAAGCTGCTAAATTAGCCAGGAACCGCTTTTCCAGGGGCTTTTTGCCCTCCAAGTTCTACTTACAAGGGCCAGAGCCAGCCAATACAGCCCTGATCCCACACTTAATCCTACCAAAAGCCTCCAAGAAAGGCACCCAAGTCTCTCGGCACCCAAAGTGGTGCTGGCATGACCCTGCTCGCAGGGTCAGTTCCCTATCCAGCACAAGCCATGCTGGGCAGGGAAAAGGCCTCCTCCCCATGGATCTGGGGCAGAGCTGAGCTCGGCACGACCAGCTCGGGGTGCAGGATCGAGCCACGGAGGCAATCTGGGGGCGGCGGGAGCTCCACACGGCCACACTGGAAGATGTTGATAGTCCAGCACCGCCTTTGTTTACCTGCTGTATTATTTTTTTTTAATCTCTCCACATCCACTTCAAGAAGACACTCATGGGCTGAAATGAAACACATAGCCTGATTGCCATTCTGCTAATTGCTGCGCTCCCTGCGCCGTTAGCATGGTCAGCGGCATGCAGGCGGAGGGGGCTGGGGGCACCGCTGTGGGGGGAGACGCACTGACCAGCCCGGCCCCGGCCCCGCACAGGGAAAGCGGGTGGAAAAACCCACTCCAAAGCCAAAGGGGTTTCAGAGGGACAGCGCCGATCCTTCCCTTGGCACCCCCAGGCATTTCTCTCAGGTTACCCCACAGCCCGTCCTGCAGCACTGGGAGCATTTCCACCTCGGTATTTGGCCTTTGCAAGGCAAACAGGGAGCATGGGGCGATGGACAGACGGACCTGGGAGACCTGGCTGTTCCCAGCTCCCGGGCAGCCCTGGGGCGGGAGCTGAGCGAAGAAACACACCAAAAACCCCACCCCGGGGAGAAAAGTCCTGGAAACCAGAGGCAGGTTTGATTGCACATGAGGAGACAGCGATGCCAGCCAGGCATAGGCATACGTTTGTAATAGGTTTGTATTCCCCGGAGCTGGTAGACTAAAATAGTTACACCAGGTTTCTGTGCTGTGCACTCCCGAGGGAGCAGGCTGGCGAAGGCTGACTGCATTACACGCTCGGCACAAAGCAGAAATTACCATCCCCTTTCTGTGCCCAAAGTGGATGGGTTTCCATCCCCACCGCTCCTTGTGCTCCTCACTGCAGCCTGGGACGGGGTCCCCCATTGCTATCTGCACACCCCGTCCTGCCAGCATCCCAGCTTGGCCCAGAGCTGCTTGTCCAGCTCCTGACACCTGAGCGGGAAGAGGGAGGGAAAGACGCAAGGGAGCCTGGAAAAGGGGAGAAGGGGAAAAGCATGGGAAAGGGATGCACCAGAGGAGATGGAGCCTGAACTCAGCCTGGGGTGCTGCTCCCCCCACGCTGCCATGCAACCAGGCAGTGTTTCGAGGCTGGATTCACCCCATCTCCCGCCTCCCACCCAGGAAAAGGGGGGAAATGGCAATGCCATTTCATCCCCAACAATCTACAGGGGGGATAAAAGGTAGACACCGGTCCTCACCCCCTTCCCTCCTGCAACCCCGCTCTCACTTTGCCCAGGGCGCAGGCACCCCTCCACCTCCCCCAGCCCTCTCCCTCTCTCTTTTTTTGGCCCTTCTCTCCGCTTGCTGCCTTTCCCCCAGCCTGTCCAGGGCTGGGTGCAGGTTTACCGCAGCCATCACACGCCACTCACACCCTGGAAGGGTTTTTTCCTCCGGGCTCAGAGCTTGCAACTTAAAACCCCCGGCACCACGTCGTCCCAGGACTCACCGGCTTGGTTGGTGGTGATGTTGACGGAGACGTGCTGCGGTGGGAAGGGGCTCTTACTGGAAACCCCGTTGACAGCCTGGATCTCAAAGGTGTACGGCGTGTGCGCCCACAGGTTGCTGATGAAGACCCGGGTCTCCGTCAGCCCCAACTGCCGGGGAACAAAGTCCACGTTGTCGTCGCAGCGGGAGCAGGCGCGTCGGTCCGACCGGCACTTCTTGCAGACGATGTTGTAGGTGACATCGTCCCGACCCCCCGTCTCTCGCGGCGGGTGCCACTCCAGGATGATGGACGTCTCGTTGACGATGGAGATGACGTTGCGGGGGCCGGATGGGACGCCTGCAGGGAGGGAGAGCAATTGAGACAGGCCCTTGCCAAAAACGTCACGCTCAGCCCTATTGGGGCTCAGCGGGAGCCCCGGCATGCTCCAGCACGGAGAAGGACATCCCACAGCTCCGTTTGCCAGTCTACCCATCACCTCCTGGCTCAGGACAGATTTGGTCTCCATGGCTTTGCCTGACTCAGGGTCAGGCTCTCCCCATCGGCCACACCGACCACCTGCATCACCGGCGCAGAGAGAAGTTTCACAGCTGGGGATGGGGACTCCCATGCCACAAACCCACTTCCTCTCCAAAAAAACCCCCCCATTGCAGAGCACATGCAGATCCATCTGCGAAGATGGACCCATTTTAATGATTGAGGGTTGGCAAGATAGCTCCAGTGCTCACATGGAGAAGCACCTCAAACAGGTTATCACAGCAAGAGAAACACCACTTAGCCAGCACCGCAGAGAAACAGAGGAGCAGCGGGCAAAAGGAGAGTCAAAAATGGAAAGTGGTTATTAACAGTTCGATATCTCCAGTTGGGAGCCTGGGTATTTAATGGCAGAGAGGAAGGCTCTCCTCTGTGCCTGGCACCGCTCACTGTTTTGCGAGTGGCTTGGATGTTGGCCGAGAGATCAAAATTGCATTGATCAAATCTGCTGGGAATCATCGCAAACGCTTCGGAGGATGGGAATTGAACGCGGCTCCGATTGCACGCACTGCCGGAACAGGGACGGAGTCGATAGCGAGCAATTCAGGAGGAATCCAGGCGGGAGAGCATCGTCGAGGCACAAACATATGTCTGCCCCAGGTCTGGGGAAGGATTTGGGGTTAGCCAGGATGGCTCCACAGCCAAAACCACAAAATCCAGCTGCTGGGTTGCATTACATAAGGAAAGCGATTAACTACTCATGCCGGCAGGGCTCGGCGCTGCGCTTCCAGGGAAGAGAAAGGACTTTGCCACGATGCAGGGGTGCAATAAAAACGATGGAGGACTTGACCCGTGAGGAAAGGTTAAGAGAGCGAAGCGTGCTGCGTCTTGGGGAGAGCTGTCCCGGGGAAGCCCTCCAGGTGTGTGTGCTGGGGAACGTCGTTAGTGGCTGCAGATAAATTAGCCCCATTATTGGACGGGGATGGGCTGGGCAAAGGCGGCTTCATCAGCACAGGGGGGATGTGGCTGGTGGGATGGAGAGGTCACCCTGTGTGGAGGGCCTCCAGCTGACACCCTGCTCCGGCCACCCCTGCACTGGTTAAAAAGCCTAGAAAAATGACAGCCTTTAAAAGAAAATGACCAAAACTAAAACATCCCGTTCCCTTTCATTCTTTTTAGCAGAATAAGCGCACGTGTTGGGGAGCGACAGTGCAGCCTCCTCACTGGAAAGGGCTTTTGTGGACTCCAGGCACCACAGATATCCCATGGTGGGGCTCGCCCGAAATCCCGTTAGCAGGCAGCGGAGACGTCAAAGGGGGTTTACGGGAGGACTGGCTGGGGACACATCAGGAGCGGGGGAACCAGACCCGAGAACTCGCAAAGGCTGGGGAGAAGTATCAACAAATAGCAAGTTACCCCCAAAAAGCTGCAACCTGTCTCAGGAACCTTAATCCACTCTTTGTACCGTAAGCAGACAATATCTTTTCAAGCTTTTTTTCAAGAAAAAGAGAGAAAACCATCTCTCTTCTTCCCTGGCCCAGATGCAAACCACTGTCTCCCCAAATTCTCCCCCCTTTAATCATCCAGGGCAGCGCCTGCAGCTCCATGCTGTTATTTACTCCTCTGACACAGAGAAACTTTGTTGGTGAACAGCTGGCATCTCAAATTAAGAGCGTTGTAAAATCAAACGTCGACATGAAGAAATAAAAATCAGCAAATGGACTTTTTTATACTGTATTCCTATAGCGCAGCAATACTGTAAATCAGCTACGTAACAAAACGTAATAAAGATACGCAGATTTATCTCCCGCAGTGCTACCTGCCGACTACCTTTTGCTCTGACAGCCTAAGTCATCCAGCAAAACATGCAAATCCTTTCCTCATCTCCAATGTGCATTCTGGGCACTCCCCAGCACCATGGGTCCAGAGTATCCTTGCGCTAAAGCTCCCTGATGGGCTGATTCAAGGGCCTGGAGGGTATTCTGGAGTCGGGGGAGTTGAGGCTGAGACTCACGTTCCCAGCAGGCTGAGGAGCACAGCAGCTCTTTCTTCTCTCCTGGGCTCTTCTCTCACCAAACAACAGGCTTGAGACCGCTGCTGCCATCCCGGGTGGCTCAGGCAGACAGCCGAGCAACGACACATCAGTGCTGAATACCAATGCTTAACGCATCCTTTCCCCCTATAAAAAACCCCACTCCATCTGCAAGACTATGAACAAGACAGCAACAGCAGATAACCTTAAATTCTAATTTATCCTGTGACTATCTCCCTGCCATCACTGCCAGGATAAAGTATAAAATCAAATGGCTGCCAGAGAGGTGGGTTGCGGGGCCGTCCCATCACTCATCGTTTGGTGCGTGCCATGGCGGCGGCCCGGGAAAGCAGAGCAAAAGGTGACAAGACATCATCTGCTTATGCCGGCGTGGTGGTGAAGGGATTCGTGTTGATGCCCGGAGCGTTTCTATAGCACATGGAGGAGGTGCTGTGTCGTGCCGAGAGGGCTAGATATTCAATTCGGGGACCCCAGCCCTCCGCAAAGCTAAACCCTTGCAGTGGGTGGACCTTGGCTGGCGGCCAAATGGCTACCCAGCCGCCCCCTCAAAATCACAGAATCATTAAGGTTGGAAAAGAGCTTTAAGATCATCAAGTCCAACCATCAACCGAATGCCACCATGCCCACTAAACCATGCCCCGAAGTGCCACGTCTACATGTTTTTTGAACTTCAGTGATGGTGACTCCACCACCTCCCTGGGCAGCCTGTGCCAATGCTTGACCACTCTCTCAGCAAAGAAATTTTTCCCAATATCTAATTTAAACCTCCCCTGGCACAACTTGAGGCCATTTCCTCTCGTCCTGTCGCTGGGACCAGCGAGAAGGAGAGAAGAGACCAACCCCACCTCACCACAACCCCCTTTCAGGTAGTTGTAGAGAGCGATGAGGTCTCCCCTCAGCCTTCTCTTCTCCAGACTAAACACCCCCAGTTCCCTCAGCCGCTCCTCATCAGACTTGTGCTCCAGACCCATCCCCAGCTCCATCGCCCTTCTCTGGACACACTCCAACACCTCAACGTCCTTCTTGGAGTGAGGGGCCCAACACTGAACACAGGATTCGAGGCACGGCCTCACCAATGCCGAGTACAGAGTCACTGCCCTGCTCCTGCTGGCCACACTAGTGGTGGTACAAGTCAGGATGCTGTTGGCCTTGGCCACCTGGGCACACTGCCGGCTCACGTTCAGTCGGCTGTTGACCAGCACCCCAGGTCCTTTTCCCCGGGCAGCTCTCCAGCCACTCCTCCCCCTTCCCTCTTGCTCCCCTCCGCAGCAGGACAGGGGGAGAAAACAAGATGAAAAAGCTTCTGGGTTGAGACTTCATCCCTGCCACTTCCCCAGCAGCAGAGGGGAGCGAGACCCTGCAGCCCCCCCCGATCCGTTACTCACTGGTGCAGGCAGCTGCCGGCAGGGGTGAACGCGCCGGCACGTGCAGAGCGGTGAGGCCTCAGCGGTGGAGCGGCTGTTGGAGGGGCAGGGCACGCAGACCCCCACGCCCTGGCTGGCCTTGAACGTCCCCGCCGGGCAGGCTGCAAGAGAAAGGAGAGGAAAGCGGTTGGGTTCCGAACGTTCCTGGGGCAGAGGCAAAAGCAGGTCCCCTTCTTGAAATGGGGCAGAAAGAAAAAGAAAATAATGAAATAGAAGAAAAATAAGACACAGAAAAGCTTCACACCTGCATCAGAGCTAAACAGGGCAGCGCCTTGCTTTGAAGCTAGGATGGCCGTAATTTTTCACACTGGCCATGAATTATTTGTGGAGCCACCAGGAAAATACTGAAGTCACACAGCAACAGGCAAGTTTTGCGTAGCGTCCCCCAAGACATCAGCCAGCCCTGGTCTGAGCCGGGTACTAAGCCTAATTACTCCACGCGCACTCTCCGCAATGACACAGTAATTAGCCTGGCAGAGCAAGGGGATTGCAGCAGCTGCATCGCTCCCCGCCGCTCGTACCCAGGCAGGGGGACGATGCAGGGCCACGGGACCCCTTCCCTGGCAGCACCCATGGGGGCACGGACACGCAGGGGCAGGACAGCGTTCCCTTCTGCTGATCCGAAACGTCCCTTTCTGCCAACCCAACGGCATGGCTCAGGTCTCGCATCACTTTTTCCATGCAAAATTTGAATATTTAATGAAAAAGTTGGCACAACGCCCATGACGGTGTCTTACGGGTCCATGCCGTTAACCCCCTGCAGCCCGGGGCTGGGGCTAATAACCGTCCTGGCCTTCGGCCTCCAAGTTCACTCAAGCAGGAAACAGCAACTAATTCTTAAATTAGAAGATGCTCCAATTATCATTACGGCATGGCTTTAATCAGTGATAGGGGGAGGTTTCATTAATCAAATGTTTTGCTGCTCTGCCATTAGGATGAAGATGGAGTGATGAAGATGGCGTCCCTTGTCCCTACCCCACCTCACCAGTCCTCATCAACTAGGCATTGATGAACAGATGCTTATCCATCCTCAACCCCTACAAAACCAAAGGCTGCAAGAAGGTAGCATCTGCATTTTGGCACATGTACCCGAGGGACCAGAACTCCATCTAGGTCCACCACCTGGCTGGGGGAAGATGGCTCCCGGCCTCACACAGACGGCGGTCCCACCTCCGTTTGGCTCCTAGCTCTGTCCTCCAATGCTGTCACCTCCAAGGCATGGCTCTGCAGACAAACACGCTAAGCGTCTCATAAACACGGCGATGATTGAGATAATGGAAAGTGCCTCTTAGCCCCTGTCTGCTGCATCAGGATATGAGGCATCTCCTAGCAGCCATGAAGAGGAAATTAATAGGAGCAAGCAGGAGTAACCACTTTGATGCAATTTCCTTGGGAGATAGTGGACCATCTAATCTTTATTGGAACCCTTTAACCTGTCATTCAAAACTCATGAAAGCCTCTTGCTCACACAGTCTTTCCAGATATTAAAGATGATAAAAAAGGATAAATCAAAACAATATTTTACAATTTTATTATTCAGGGGATTTTCTTCCCCTGCCTCAGGCACGCAACCAGCTGCGATGAACTGTCTCCTTCCAAGGACGCTAACAGCTGAGTGGGGACGTGGCATCCCAGAGGGACCAGCCACCATCTCACACTGCCCTTCCTCCTCCCCACCACGGGAAGACCTCTTAGTCCTCCCTGAGCCACGCACACAGCAAGCCCTGCACCCCGTAACAGCATGAGGACACACCGAGTTACACCAGCCACGCAAGGCAGGAGACGCAACCACGCGTGGAAACCAAGACTTTGAGGTGGATCTCCATTCCTTCACCTCTCCCTTCCCACTGGGGCCTCCCCACGATGTCCCAGCGGCATTGCACTCCTGCCAGCAAGCGTTAGCACCCATGAGACGTGCAACGGGTGACTTGTGGGTGTGTGGCGGAGCAGCTCCAGAGCTGGAGGACGTGATCAGAAGCATGCCTGAAACATGCTGGGCTCTTCGGAGGAGCAGGAAGGAAACAGCAGCGGTACCGGGGAACAACCACCTGGATTTCTATGGAAAGGAATGGGAGAGCAAGGGAGATGGGCGAGGACCAGAGAGTCGCAGCACCACGAACACGCCTCGGTTTTAAGCATTGGGGCACATCAGTGGGTCAGTTGAAGGGATTTCTTAATTTTTAACCACAATTAAGCCAAGCAACACTTGTCAAAATACCCGAACAAAAGTACACTCTGCAACCCAGTGTCCTCAGATTTCTTTTATCACTTCGCTTATCCATAAATTCCTGTAATCTTCAAGCACGTGGCTCTTAATTGTTATTATTACTAATTAGCTTTTCTCTCCTGTAATTACACTGAGCTTGCCTAAAGTCTCCCGCAGTTTCAGGGGGGGCTGATTCCCTCTCCTTCCTCCTAAAGCTGCCATGGGCTGCAGCCCCCGCTCTCGCTGCTCCCCTCTTTCTGGGGGAGCTGAACGGTGAACCTCACACCAAAGTTGAAGCCAAAACCCCCCAAAAGCCCCTGCGATGGGATTTATGGAGACCCACGCAGCGTGGGAGCCGTTGTCCTTCAGCGCACGGTCCAGGCGTAAGGCTTGGCTAGAGGGCTTGAGCCCAGGAGGGAGCAATAGCTCACCCCACCAAAAGCCAGTGCAGCGTTTGCTGTGATTTAAGGGCTGCTGCTAGAAAGTTTCCTGGAGCTGGCAAGGTCTGGATCCGCAACAGCGTCTCAGACCGAGCGCGGGACAAGGCTCTGCCTTGGCTTTCCCCGCAGGAACAGGCTCCTTCTGCCGGTGCCCAGGCTGCAGCGCAATCTGCATCTCTTCAGCCTGGAGAAGAATTAATTGATTGTTGACTACATGGGCTGGATAAGATTAATGATGTGCTTAACTATCCCTCTCCTCGCGTTTAAGCACTCGGGGTGTGTTTGTAAATGATGAGGCACGAAATGCGGCCGTGCCGCCCAGCTCACTCTGCGCGGGGCAGGATGAATTATCGGAGCAGCAGCAGCAGCCAGCAGCACCGCAAGTCTTTTTGCTGCTGAAAACTCTCCTGCCTTCACTGCGTGTATCCTGCACCCTTACATTTTGGGTGCCAGGCACCCTAGAAGGAGCCGGTGGTAAGCGGGCTTTTGCTGCTCCTCCACCCCTGCTCCTGCCCAAGGCAAGGCGCCGTCA